ACTTGTATAAATTGTATTTTTTTCTCCAATTTAAATATTTATTCCTTTTACATTAAATAATCAAATACATCTAAGTTCAATTTAATCTATTTTACTACTTAAATAAACGAGGATAAGACGGACAGATAGCTTTTTATTTTATTTACATGCTTATGTAAATTAAATAATGAAACAGATTTAGTTTAAATTATACTCTATTATTATTTAAATAAGGACAGGATACTAATACTAGTTTATTTTTAAATTGAAAATAATAAAATCGATTTGAATTAAATTAAATTTATTTTACTATGAAAATTAACCAGGATACGAACGATAGATAATATTTAATTTTTTTATTGAAATACTTATGTTTTTAAGAACATGGATTTAAATAGGGCCTCCCAGCAAGAGGGTTCTGGGTTCGAGTCCCCGGGGGAAATTCAGTCTATTTTAAGATGATTTCATATATTAGAATTTGAGGTTTGAGCTTTACCTGCTGACCCCTCCAGGTGTGGGGGCGTCCGTCCTGCAGAAGGCCATGGTCCGGCTGGTGAACCAGACCGTCTGCGACCGCCTCCTGAACGATGACCTCACTGACCGCATGCTGTGCGCCGGCGTGCTGCAGGGCGGCGTGGACGCCTGCCAGGTCAGCAGGCTCTGCACATGCTCAGTGCCTAGGGTTAGGGTTAGAGTTCAGGGTTAGGCTGTGGATGGGCCTGGGTCTAGCCTTAGGGTTAGGTTTAAGATTAGAGTTTAGGGTTAGGCTGTGGATGGGCCTGGGTCTAGCCTTAGGGTTAGGTTTAAGATTAGGTTTAAGATTAGTCTTAGAATTTAGGGTTAGGCTGTGGTTGGGCCTAGGTTTAAATTTAGGCTTAGAATTTAGGCTTAGATTTTGCTTGGGCCTAGGTCTAGGCTTAAGGTTACATTTAAGCTTAGAGTTTAGGGTTAGGCTTTGGTTGGGCCTAGATTTAAGTTTAGGCTTAAAGTTTAGGCTTAGGCTTTGGTTGGGCCTAGGTTAAGGCTTAGGTTTAAGCTTAAACCTAGGTTTATCGTAAGAATTAGGACTATTTTTACAGTTAAGTTAGGTTTAGGCCAAGGGTTAGTTTTAGGGTTACATTTAGGCTTAGGTCTAGGGTTAGGTTTAGGTTAAGGTTAGGCCTAGATTTAGGCATACATTTGGGATTACATTTAGGGTTTAGGTTTAGGCCTAGTTTTAGGCTTTAGGCCTAGGCTTCCCGTTGGTTATCCTCCTGGCTCTGTGAGCCTGACCTGAGCCTCTCCCCCCTCAGGGCGACTCCGGGGGGCCCCTGACCGTCATCAACCCCAGTGGGCGGGCCTTCCTGGCGGGCGTGGTCAGCTGGGGGGAAGGCTGCGGCCTCAGGAACAAGCCGGGGGTCTACACCCGGGTCCCCGCGCTGCGCGGCTGGATAAAGGAGCAGAGCGGCGTGTAGCTTTCTCTGTGTGTTTGTCATTTAAAAGCAGCCGGGAGCTGCTGGTCAGACCAGATGAAACCTGGGAGCCACTGACCCGGATCAGGACAGGATTCAGATTTTAGGACGGAAGCGGGATGCTCCTCACAGGTCAAATCTTCTCAGGGAAATCAGAGCTCCTCCTCCAGACTCAGGCTCAGTCAGAGGGATCCTGTCGGGGTCTGAGGAGGGGGGCGGACTCAGATCCACATGTGTTCAAACATCTGTGTCCTCTGGTTCTTCCCTCCAGCCTCTTAGACTTACCCTAACCCTAACCCTGTTCAAAAAGGCTCCTTAAACACGTGCACGCTCGTCACCTGATCTGCACAGACATTTTACGAGGTCATGTGAGTCTTTTCTACATCCATCTCAGTTTCATTCTATGTGGTGCATTCAGGGACTGGAGGACAGATGGGACACCTGTGCCTTAGTCCAGTCTGGTGACTGGAGATACACAGTGGTCTGAACACATGTGGAGCGAACCTGGCCTGTCCTAACCCTAACCTAAACCTGTCCTAACCCTAACCTAAACCTGTCCTAACCCTAACCTAAACCTGTCATAACCCTAACCTGGCCTGTTCTAATCCTAACCTGGCCTGTTCTGACTAGGGTTGTCAAAAGTATCGATACTCAAAAAAGTATGGATACTAAAA